AAACCTGAGTGGAAAATTAAGAATTTATGCTGTTAATGATTAAGTGTGAGATTACATATTTCATTCTGTCAAAACAGCATCAGGGTAACAGTATGGGGTTGGCTAAAAATTAGGGAGGGGAAGAGAAAAAAAGCTTGCATGATGCCAGTACCTCAGCCATGGCAGTGGTGTAAGCCTCTGAAAGAAAACAGAAAACAAAGCACTGTATTTCCTATTCCAGAAGGTCCAGTCTTGGCTCTGCTGACTTCAAGGGCTCTACCATTTTTACTTGGCATGCCAAGAAAAGTCAAATGTACCAAGTCCTATTAAAACAAGCAAACAAAAAAAAAAACAAAAAAAACAGAAAAACTCAACTCAAGTACTACAGCTGGAGCAAACGCAAAAAACTGTGCAGTCAGTTAAGCTGCGATCACTGGTATCATCCTGTTTTGTGAAACCCTTTGTATCTTGTGGCCCCTGGAAAATCCACAATACATGGGAAAGTGGGAAAATTAAAATGGAGCACAACAGGCCATGAAAAGTATATTGTTTCACACATGGTATTAATACTGTGGGCCAAGCAGTGGCTGTAGACGTCTCTGGATGATCTTCGTGTGCATTTTGAAGACATTTATTTGTGGGAAGTACATAAGTCTATTCTGCTACCATCTGTCTGGCCTGTCTGAAAAAAATAAGGTGGCTCACCTACCAGCATCTTCGATGCAGTATTAAGCAACTTCAAGAGGTCACTTTTTTAAATGCTGATTATTTGCTGCTTAAAACCTGCAACGTTTCCGTAAAGCAAATTCATAATTGTTTCACCATTTGTCTTCATTCGTTGTTTAAGCAAGCAAGGTTTGTAGCTCACGAGAAGGCATCTGGCGCAGCGAGATTTAGCTGATTACTGCGTATTCAGATGAACTGTGTACATTATGCGTAGTGGTCCCTTGACTGGTGTTGGGTGTTTTTTTTTTTACCTTAAGTCCAATCAATCCTACACTGGCGGCTTTTCATTAGCTGCTCCTGCTCTCACAGTAATGATCGGGATGCAGAGCCTGCTGGCAGTCTGTAACTTCTCCTGGTGCCCTGAAGCTCAACAACGTAAGCTGATTGACTCCGTTAGGGCCCCAGTCTCTAACAGCAAATGCAATCAATAAATCTTTGTTGGTAAATAATTGCTATTGAACAGAGTTTTAATATAAATTTATGAGTGGTGTTTTATCACAGCTTGAGGCTACAGCAAGCCACTGAGTGATGGATTTCAGATAACACTTACATTCATTACATTAACTTTGTAAGTTATTTAAAGCTTGTACACTTAACATTGCTTTTGGCTTGCAATGACCTCCTGGGACTAGACGTAGCATACACATTACTAATAAAGAGCTCGCAGTACGTACAGACGGTTCCTCCGTTTGCTTTGTACGGTGACGCAGTTCCTCAAGCAAAACCCGAGAAGTGAAGTTCGTGCACTCTGGTTGAAGTCTTTTTCCTGTGACTCATTAAAAGTACAAGCTAGCGCAGGCTGGTAGGAGAAGCGTTCCTCCATCAGACACAGAATTGCAATTTTGGAGGGAAGGTGGTAAAAAAATTTAATTTGAAGTGTGAAATTCTTCTCAGTTTGTGAGTGAATTGGAGGTGTTAAATTCTTAGTGTTGAATCTGGAGGCTTTGGGTCAGCTACGCCGAACTGCAGGGCTAAGATAGCAGATGGAAGACTGTAACAATGAAAGATTTCATATAAATTGGAAGAAATAATGTTATCCGATTAATAATAATTTGAGGGAGAGATTATTTAAAAAAAAAAAAAAATCAGTATTTTGAAGTAGAAGTTGCTTTACTTAGTCCCTTACTGCATAGCTTGGAGACTAAATGTGATTTTTCTGATGTGCTGTGTGTACGTGGGGGCCTGTTTGGCTGTGACTGGAGATGTGCCCAAGCTACCTCTAAATTGCCTCGGAGGTACCAAAGGTCAGTGGGAACCCATGTATCTCATTTCCTAGGCAGAGTATCTGATGTGACTTAAATGTACACATAATGTGACTGAAGTGAAGGGCTTTTTCTTTTTTTTTTAAGTAACATTTCTTGTCATATCTGGGCCATTTATTTTTTTTAAGTTTAGTTAATGTTAAAGTGCATTTATAACTGATCTAAACTCCGATACTAAGAGCATTTCTCCAGACCACTCTATGTAATTACCACAGACAAAGTGGCGGTCTCTGGCCTTGGGGAAAAAAAGTGTGGTTTATATGGGCTTCTCTGCTTCATAACACTTTAAGTTAGCTGCTTGTATTCAGAGCAGTTTCCTCTGCAGGTACTAGAAGATATTTTTAATTCTCACATAATATGAAAATCTATTCTTTTTGCCAAGGTAGTGCCCAAAGAAAATGGATTGGGAAGTCTGCTTTGTTAGTTAGGCACAAAAAGGTACATCATCTGTATTTACTGGTGAGTATTTTTTTTAACATGAAAGCACAGAATTCCACTTTAAAAGAAAGGTGAAACCCCATTCGGATCATTTTCTTCATTTAGATCCAAAAATAAGGTTTCATAATTCACACCTAGACAGTAGCAAAACCTCTATGTAGTAAAACCCATTAAAAGTAGTGGGGTTTTACTATTTATTGGTTTTATAATTGCCATGAATTGAAAATTACGTAATTAGTGACATGTTTTTTGTATAGCAAAGGGACGGCTAAAAACATGTGAAAAATATATATTTTACTTTCTTCAACATGTAAAAAAAAGGCAAGGGGGGGGGGGGGGGAAACCCCCGT